AGAAAGTCGCTGCACACAGAAATACAAAAATATCTACGTGTAAGAAGCTGTTTCTACACGTTCTGGAAGCTAGATTATAGCTTATGAGATGCGAAATCGAAGCCTCATTTTCAAAATATTCCTCAGTTTTTTGCGCATAATTTATACTTACACTGGACGAATAGCGTCGCTGATGTTACAGCCTCTCCGAGATCGTTTCTTGCGCGGCAAGTGTAAGTACCTGCGTCTTCAGGGTTCACGTACTTCATGTTTAGAGCGACGTATCCGAAATCGTGCATCGTTGTGACGCGATTGGCTATTGAAAATATAATTAATCGTACGTATTTTTTAATAGAAACTTATTTTCTATGTAATTTGAACATACTTTCAGATGAAGTAAATAAATTTTGAATTTTAAAAATTTATTTCAAGGATGTCAAAAAAATATTCCGAAACTTTAATGATAGGCTTTTAATACATTCGAGAAAAATTCTAACGAAATCAAATTTAAATTAATAATTTATATGGAAGCTTTTCAACTTTTCAACTTTTTAAAAATTAAAAATGATCGTCAATTCAATAGATTTGTTGCTAAAATTGGAGTAAAATTTCGAAATCAATATCGTAAAATTTCATAAAAATATCATACAAGATTGAATGTCAATTTAATTTCATGAAACGTAATTTAAATCGAAAAATTTCAGGTAATTTCTAATATAATTGAACACTTTAATCGCGGAATATGTAGAAAAATGTTAATTTTGGAATTATTATATCGTGGAATAGAACTTACAAGCTGCGATCGGGACTCCATTTCGCAGCCATTCGACCTTCAGTTTGGAATCGCCGACAGGAATCACGCGTGCTTCAAAATGTGCCGCTTGATTTTCAGCGACTCTCAGGTCCTTGATTGGCATCGTGAATACTGGTGCTTGAGTGACGATTTCTTCTGTCGTAGTTTTTCGCTGATACCTCGACGTATCCTCCAAGTATTGAAGACGTTGGAGTGTCTCTTCATTTTGGCTTTCCGTGTAAATTGACTTTTTCGCTACGCGGGGCAGAAAAATTGATATTCCAGTAACGTCCATTACCCCATAAACTTCTTACGAAGTTATTGACATATGTCCGCATTTGATTCTTCAATTCAAGCATGTTCCCAATTATTGCGAATAAATATTCTTAAACTCTTTTCATTGTGACTGAATCTCTGGTCTTAATTGAACGAATATTTCTTATAAAGTTGAAATTCATTGTAATTTAGTTTAATTTTTCACTTGGACGTTTTAAATTGAACATTGGAAACCATAAGAATTTAAGAAGAGATATGTAAAATATAAAGTAGAATTAAATATCCCTAAATTCTTCTAATTTAATATAAATTATTACAGTTCAAGTATTTGAAGGTTAATTTCCTTCTTTCCAAAATTCATTTTTTAAAATATGATATATTTAATATTCTTAGAATTCTTGCTATTCAAGACATATATTTAACTTTTTATTCTTTCCTCAAATTTTTCTCCAAACTCCATTACCATATAAAATTAATTTCTATTGTTCAATTTGTATTACAAACTTTCTGCACTTAAAACTTATCTCTCTTTTTAAGCCATTTTTAAATCTAACGCTACTTTCCAAAGAATTCGAGAAACTTTCTAATTTAATGTCACAAATTTTCCGTCACGATATTCAAGTAAGTTTTCTTGGATCGATAGTAAAATCATAAAATAAACAGCAAAGGATTGTAACTGAAAAATTCAAAGAACTCACAGTGCACGACAGCAGTCGCGGATGTAATCGCCTCTCCAATGATGTTCTTCGCTCGGCAGGTGTAAGTGCCAGAATCTTCAGGATAGGCGTACATAATGTCCAAAGCGACGAAGCCAAAGCTGTTGGTCTCTACAAATCTGGAGCCAGCCTTGACAGGTTTATTATTGTGGAACCATTCGACTTTCATCGTTGCATCGGACACGGGTATCAATCTGCACTCGAAATGCGCCCTTTGGCCTTCTTTGATCTCTACGTTGTTCAAGGAGGTGGTGAAAATTGGTGCCTGAGTGGTTGTTTCCTCGACATCTTCTCGTCGTTGGTATCTAGATCTATCCTCGAGATAGTGAATCTGTTCGAGGCCAGTCTCGTTCCGTGTATCCGTCAGAACTTGTGCAGTTGATCGACAGGTCAGAGTGCAAGATACTTCGTCGCTACCAACGAGATTGACAGCGCGACAGGTGTAGGTGCCTGAGTCCTCGGCGATTAGGTCGATCACATCCAGGGCAACGTAGCCAAAGTCGTGGATTGGACGGAATCGGTGTCCTAGAATTCGATGTCGAAAATTTTCTCGTCTCTTCAGATGAACAATTGATTTATTGTGATTTTAGTTTTTAGTCATTATATCATGCTTTTTTATGGAGTAATTTTCCTATCATAATTGTATTATAATTTTTAATATTTTACTGTTAATTCTTTAGTGAGAATTATATAAAAATTTTTAGTAGCAATCTTTTCAGTCACAATTTTCAATAGTAATTTTTAGATGATATTTTTATTTAAGAATAAGAAATCGATTAAAAATACATCTCTTTATTGCAAAATAGAAAATCGCAAATTTTGTGTCTCGATATCTTTCTCTCACTAGTGAATAGAAAAACAAATTAAAGGAATAAAAAAATTTTGTAATTAAAAATGTGAGAATTATGATATTAATTCTGTCAAATAATAAGGAAGCAAAATTTGTAAAAAAAAAAAGAAAGAATTAAGGGACTAGATTTTAAATTCTAAAATTAACATATCAAATTGATATACCTAGTACATTAAATGCAATGGCTAATTTCTTATCACATTTACACTTATCAAAATAAATGTTGAAAAAAAAAGAATGATTCGTAATCACAGAGTTATTCTGAGTTAAAAACTGAAAACTTCATTGCTATTGAGAAACTCTATTTACCTATTGTAACCGGACGACCGTTCTTGTACCATTCAACCTTCAAATTCGAGTCCGTCACTGGTTCCAATTTGCACTCAAAGTGAGCGTATTGCCCTTCGCAAAGATTCTCCTGATTCTTCGGCGCGGTGATAAATCTCGGCTTGACGTTGACCACTTCGTCGACTAATTCCTGCCTCTTGTATCTGGAAGCATCCTCCAAGTATTGTATTCTTTCCAAGCCTTCAGGATGCTGAGACTCCAGCAGCAAGTCTTTCTTCGCGTGTACTCTCACTGAACAGGAAGTGACGGCTTCTCCCAATTGATTTCTCGCCTGGCATGTGTACACGCCTGAATCGTCTGGATAAACGCCCAAGATGTCGAGGGCCACGTAGTCGAACTCGTAAGATGGCCTGAATCTGTGGCCAGTTTTCACTGGTCTCCCATTGACGAACCAATCCACCTTCATGGTGGCATCGCCAACTGGCTGAAGACGACACTCGAGGTGAACGTTGGTCAGCTCTACCGTCTCGATGTTGTGCAAAGGGCGAGTGAATTGCGGTGGTTGCATTACTGTCACTTCTTCTTGTTGAGTCCTGCGGTATCTGTGTGTTGAAGTACAATTTGCACGTGAGTGAAATTGTGATTTCTATTTGTTCATATTTGGTGTAGGTTTATCATATATTTCTTAGAATACAAATTAATCAATGAGAACGAAGAGAATATTTGATAGCAAGTTGTGAAGAATTGACAATAAATCAGAAGTTGAAATATTGTTTTAAAAAGTCTTGAATGTAAATACAGTAGATTAGAATTTTTTATTTCTATTGATTTTATTCGAATTTAAATATACTACATAAATAGACTAAATTATATTTAAATGCACTAGATAGACTAAATTAATTTAAATTATTCCTTAAACAATACTCAATAAATATATTCTCATCCCAGTAAATGTCGAAATTCTGCGAAAAAGCAGAACCCTACATATCTTTAATATTTTCAAAACCAAAAATCTACATCTGTATCTCAGAAATTTAACAAATTTATCCGCCGATCTTAAGTCCATTAAATATTACCAACCTTGCGGAATCTTCGAGCATTTGAATCTGTTCGAGCGACTGCTCGTGCTGAGTTTCGGTAACGACATCCGACTTGCCGATTACTCTGACACAGGCTGAGGTGTGAGCGGTGCCAAGATGATTGGTAGCTCTGACAGTATATTCGCCCGAGTCGAGGACGGTCGAATGAACGATGTCCAACGCGACGAAACCAAAGTCATAATAAGTTCTGAATCTGGAGCCAACGGTAACCGGACGGCCATTTTGGAACCATTCGACTCTCATCGTTGGGTCGCCCATCGGCTCCAAACGGCATTCCAAGTGGATGTTCTTGCCCTCGCTCACTGGCTTAGGGTCGCTCAGCGGTTGAACGAATATCGGCTTCGATTTGGAAATTTCCTCGATGTGGTACTGCGGCTCGACGAATTTCGACTCTTCGAGGCGTTGTGTTTTCTCGTAGGAAACGCGATGCATGCTGCTGGTATCCACGCTCGAACGTGCTGTTCAAAGAAACACGAGAATTATTTTGCGGAGCTCGATAGGATCTAGATTACAGAACACAGAAATTAACGCCTCTTAAATTATAAAGTTTTATAACTCAGTTGTCATTAGTTCTAGTTTCTCGAAGTTTCTATCTCTCGGAGTGTTTCAACATTCTATCAGAGAAATGTAAAAATTGTAAAACGCATGCCATTCTCCAATCAACTACATATTTTTTTTTTTCATTCAAATAAATAATAATTTAAAAAAGTAATTCCTAGAAGAATTTAATTTTTGTATGAAAATTATGGTACGTACATACAAATCTATCAGCCATACAAAAAGGCAGACGACATACTTATAAAATGATTTGAAAATACAGAAACTATTTATATACTGGTTTCAACGTTATCTTAAGTGAATGCATAAATATTCATAAACACCTTGCACTACTAGAATTATCTGCATTAACCTCATTAATGAAATAATTGTCTCCAGCAAATGTCTTGTGTGAAATAACTTCGAGACTGTCTAATTAATAAATCGACTGAAATAATTTCAACATTGACTAATTAATAATCGACTGAAATAATTTCAAGATTGATCGATCGATACTGATCGCAACGATGCAGCGAGAAATACTTACTTTCGACAACCATGGTGGCGGACAGTTTAGCTTCTCCAAGAGCGTTTCTAGCGACGACAGTGTAAGTACCAGCGTCCTCGGATCTGACCTGAAGAATATCTATAGCCACGTATCCAAAGTCGTGGTAGGTCTGAATTCTGTTCGCAGCAGTGATGGGTTTCCCATTGTGGTACCATTCAATTCTCATGGTCAAGTCACTTTGAGGTTCGACACGAGCCTCGAAATGAGCACGTTGGCCCTCGACGATCTTGTTGGTACCCTTCAGGTTGCCCAAAAATCGTGGCGCTTGAGTCACTTGTGTTTCTTCCTGGACTTGTCGCGAATATCTGCTCGAGTCTTCCAGAGTTTGAATTTTCTGTAAGCCGGTGGGATGTTGGCTGTCGTAAATGACATCGTTCTTGCTGATCACGCTCAGTTGAGCAGTCGTGTGTGCCTCGCCGACACGGTTGTATGCGCGACAAGTGTATATGCCAACGTCGTGGATCGTTACGTATTTGATGGTCAGTGCCACGTAACCGAAGTTGAAGAACGTCGTGATCCGTGAGCCTGAGAGGAAAGTTTAGTGTGATGCAGTATCTGTCAGATTTTAGGATTCTTAGGACCTCGAGGTTACAGAGTTTTGTTATTTCGAAACTTTTGGAAATTTCATGATTGTGTTTTCAGGGTTCTGAAGTTACAGAAATTTGCTGTTTTGCAATGTTGCAAATTTAAAATGAAGTTTTCTCGTTTTGCACCTCTTAGAATTATTTTCGCTTAAAATAAGATAATTCTGAGATTCTTATCTCTATTTTTAAAACTCTAGATTTCACGATTTTAAGCATCTAGGATTTTACAGTTACTATAATCTCAATATCCTGATTTCAAAACTTGAGATTCTACGAGTCATTTTATAATTAAAACATACTTCTTAAATCTCCAATGTATTTAATTTATGATTTGTCTAATATTAGAAAATTTTCAAATTTACATCTGATAATTCCATTTTCGCTGTAGCCAAAATTCGGAAAAGGGAAAGAATCATGCGATCACACTTACTTGCTTCTACAGGGCGTCCGTCCTTGAGCCATTCGACCCTCAAACTGGAATCGCCAACTGGCTCTAGGCGTGCTTCGAAATGAGCAAATCCGCCTTCTCGTATGCTATTCTGATCCTTGATGGGAGTTTTGAATTCCGGTGGGCTAGTCGATTCAGGCTGCTCCTGCACGTACTTCTGGTGCATAGCCTGTTGATAGGCTTCCAACTCCTCGGCAGCTTCGATATATCTCTGTTGCTCGGGGATTCCTAGATCGGTAGTAACGCTTGTGCGTGCTGCGATCGTTCAATTCACACACACACACACACACGTTAGAAGGAATAATCTTCGGAGATTAGAAATAATTTTATTTATAGAGGATGTGCTGTGTTTACCCAAGACACGAAGAGATGCGGAGCTGACGGCCTCTCCCAAGCGGTTCACAGCTCTGACAGTGTAAGAACCCGCATCTTCAGCTCGTAGGTGCAATATATTGAGCGAGACGTACCCGAAGTTGAAGATGGTTGTGATTCTTGAGCCTAAGAATAGTTATCGTTTACTGTAATGTCGATTTACTAAGTATTAATCATAATTTACAACTGGGCACAGTTTTGGAAGTTTGAATAATTTTAAACAAAAATTCGCATCTTTTTCATTGTAGCTGTGACAGACTTTCCCCTTGCATTTCAACTCCTCTTTGATATTTTGGAAGAATTTTATACTTTGATCGTTGATAAATAATAGCGAGAAATTATTAAATAATATAAAGGTAAGTCGAAATATGAATTAAATACTTAGAAATAGCCTGGGCCTAAAATCTTATTATATATTATGATGTAATATTATTAATAAATTATTTTGAAATACTGAAAAAAAAAATGTAGAATGATAAAAAGAAACGAAATTTCAATAATATGGATAAAGTAAAAAATAGTTAGTATACTTACTAGCTGTGATTGGCCTGCCATCCTTGTACCACTCCACTTTCATCGTGGGGTCACTTACAGGGGTCAGTTGCGCTTCAAAATGAGCGTTACGACCTTCCTGTAATTCTCCTAGATCCTGGAGTGGTCGGATGAAGGCCGGCCGCTGTGGAGAGATCTCCTCCACACTCTCCTGCCTTTGATACTTGCTGTAATCCTCGAGCTGTTGGATATATTGAAGGCTGTCGGGGTGTTGGCTAGCCTGTTCGATTGTGGCGCGTGCTGGAATTAGAATTTTTTCACCGTGAATTTCAACACGACGACAGACTTTCGATTTTCCCGGGGGAATTTTGGAGGCTGGGAATTTTAGAAATGGGAAATGGTTGAATGAATAAGAAATGCAGACTCACGTGTCACGCTGAGGGTAGCTCGAGATTCGGCGACTCCGGTGGAACTTACGACGCGGCATAAATATTCGCCGCTGTCCTGTAGAACGATGCTGATCAGGTCGAGAGAGATGAAGCCGAATCGGAAGATAGAAGTCGCCCGGGAACCTGAAGTTAAATCAGACATTTCACGAAATCAAGAACTCGAGAATCTGGAAGTTAGAAATTGGAAGACTGCGAAGCTTTGGTACCTTGGAGGCTTGAAACTCTACTAATTTTGAAACTTTGGAATTCCAGAAGTTTCGATTTTTGGAACTCTAGACGCTTGAAACTCTAAAATTCTGAAACTTTGGAATTTTAGAATTCTCGAACTTTGGGACTCTAGACGCTTGAAACTCTAAAATTTTTCAACTTTGAAACTTTGGAATTTTCAAACTTTGGATCTCTCTGCATGCTTGAAACTCTAAAATTCTGAAACTTTGGAATTTTAGAATTCTCGAACTCTCTGCACGCTTGAAACTCTAAAATTTCGAAACTTCGGAATTTTCGAATTCTCGAACTTTGGAACGCTTGAAATTGTAAAATTTTTAAACTTTGAAACTTTAGAGTTCTCAAACTTTGGATCTCTCTGCATGCTTGAAACTTAAAAACTTGAAACTTTAGAATTCTCGAACTTTAGAACTCTGCACGCATGAAACTTAAAAATTTCGAAACTTTGAAACTTTAGAATTCTCAAACATTGGAACTCTGTGCACGCTTGAAACTCTAAAATTCTGAAACTTTGGAACTTTAGAATTCTCGAACTTTGGAACGCTTGAAACTCTAAAATTTTTAAACTTTAGAATTCTCAAACCTTGGAACTCTGCACGCATGAAACTTAAAAATTTCGAAACTTTGGAACTTTAGAATTCTCAAACGTTGTAACTCTGAAATTTCGCAATTTTTAAACTTTCGAACTTTGAAACTTTGAAATTGTGACTTTGGAACTTGGTACTGAGACGTTGAAAATTGAAAATTTCAAAAATCCAAAACTTTCAAATATCGAATAATTTTCACACGATGTCGCGTTAGAATTTGAGAGAGTTACTTACTCGCATCGAGAGCTCTTCCGTTGACGTACCACTCTACCCTCATAGTGGGATCGCCCACCGGTTCGATTCTGGCCTCGAAGTGAATTCGTCCACCCTCGATCTGATGGACGTCCTTCAATGGTACGATGAAACGTGGTGGTGGATAAACTCTATCTTCCTCAGGTGGAGGCAAATATGGCTTGGCACGTTCCACGTGTCTCAAATAAATCACTTCGGGGCCAGGCGCTGGTCTGCAATCGATTTTATCATTACCCCCGTAATTCATCAATGAATCGCAACTTTCCATTAAAATCCTACCATCTTTTTCCCTTCAGTTTGCGTAAAAGTAATAATTGTAAAATTAATATTCAATCGAGCGAAACGTTTAGTTTAAAACATAATTATTAAAAATACGATACCAGGTGAACAAAAATTTTGACAAATACTCTCGACTTACTCTGGTTCGATGACTTTCGTCGGTCGGGGTAAGTTCAGGCGTCTTGGTTCGGGGGCTGTTCCTTTCGGTGTTTCCACGAAGAGCCGTGCTCGGGTGGCGGTAGAGCCGGCAACATTCTGCGCTGTGCACTGGTACCAAGCTGCATCTGACAATTTTGCATAGGGTATGTCTAAAGTTGACGATCCGCTGCCGTCCGTTGAAACACGCACATCCGGTCCAGGTGTTATTGGCACTCCATCCTGTGTCAATCAGTATCGATAAAATTTATTTTTATTCCAACGACGCTACAGAGAAATCTCAATCTCAAACAAAAACGCAAACAGAGTCTTTCGAGAATTTATCTCGAATTTAATCTCAAAAAATTGAAATAATGAAAAAAAAAAAATTTGAATATTCAGAATATTTTAAGATTTTTATTTCAATTCAAAATCCCCCCCCCCCCCAAAAAAAAAGAAATTTATGGAAAACTATTTACTATTTTATTTATTTATGAAATTTAAAATAAAATTTATGAATTTATATTAATCAAAAAAAGAATCTATTTTAATTTCTAAACCAACTTGAAATTGAATTGAACCAACCTTCTGCCAGGTGATGCGCGGTACAGGAGTGCCAACCGCACGTGCCATGAAAACAACCGGTTCTCCTTCTTTTACATTCGTCGTTGTGAATCGTTCCACGAATTTCGGCGCGACAACTTGCTCCTTCTCGATCACGTTCAAATTACATTGGAACGAGGTTTCGCCAGCTTTGTTCCTAGCGACGCAGGTCACCACGCCAGCATCCGCGCGGCTCACATTCGTGATCATCAGCGAGTTGTTACCAGACTCGTTCACGAGGATCTTGTGGGTCAGGTCGTTGGCCACTTGTTGACCGTTTATGTACCATGTCACTTCGGGATACGGACGGCCGGTCACGCGACAATCAAACCTGAAATTATACGTGCAATTCTTAATTTCTCAATGCCGAAAATAGTACCCAGTAGCGAGGAGGAGAATATAACCAAAGAACGTACAACATAAGAATAAACCAAATCTAGATTAACGTGTATAATGATTTAATGAAATACCATAATGATAACAACAATTTAAATGCTCGTCTAGTTGTTAGAACAAACAATAGAAATATTTTTTTCAGATTTTCTTTTTACAGAAACTGTAGCACAATATATTGAACAATATAA